CCCTAAACCCTAAACCCAAACAGTAATAGTGGTAACTAATTCTTTCGGCTCCTATATTACTTGTCTTCATCACCAGAGCCCTAGTGAGTCCCGCGTCCTACCGGTGCTATATCCTCCAGGCTTCTCTGGCGTCTCGGGCGGCGGAAATATGCGATAACATCTGGAGGGCTGTTTAGGGTTCAGGGTTTAGGAGTTTAGTCTTTATAGGCGTTCAGGTTTGAGGGCTGGGGCTTACGGTTCAGGGAGAAGTTTACAAAGGCCGCGACTGGCCAGCTTTGCTCACTTAACTGAGCCGGTAGCATACTGGTAGCGTCCATGAGCGAATGCAAAGAAGGGGATTCAGATTTTACTATCATCGTAAACTGTGAAACCTAAAACCAAAACCTGAAGCCCTGATACTAAACCTGAAGACCTCCAATACTCAACTACCAAATCCCAAAAAATCCTAAACCCTGACTGCTCGAATCTAGAACCTTATTCCTGTGTAGTCTCGGTACTGCACACCCTGCAGAGGACAGATGCACAACAAAGCAGCGCGCAACCCTCTTCTTTTTAAACACCGAGCGGGGCTTGTAGTTCGAGTGAGAACACAATCCATGATCTGCAATCAAATCGTCTGTCACACCTGGATGCACACATCCGAGCATGTCACAATCCATGATCTGCAATCAAATCGTCTGTCACACCTGGATGCACACATCCGAGCATGTCACCTGGATGCACACATCCGAGCATGTCACAAAGAGGTGGCATGCACACCGTAGCTCACTCACCAACCCCAGGGCGGGCGGGCGGGTCAAAAATTTCTGGGCTGCATGCAGCCAATGGCTGCAGAATGCAGCTCGTGCACAAGCATACAAGCGCACAACACAGATGCACAGACTACAAGGAATAAGATGCTGTCTCGCCTACGAGAAGGCATATTTATTCCTGTGTAGTCTCGGTACTGCACACCCTGCAGAGGACAGATGCACAACAAAGCAGCGCGCAACCCTCTTCTTTTTAACACCGAGCGGGGCTTGTAGTTCGAGTGAGAACACAATCCATGATCTGCAATCAAATCGTCTGTCACACCTGGATGCACACATCCGAGCATGTCACAAAGAGGTGGCATGCACACCGTAGCTCACTCACCAACCCCACTCGAGAGTGACGGAGGTTAGGCAAGCGTGAAGATGCCCTTGGACAAGCAGGAAAAGGCTGCGCGCGCAACGTTCCCATCAAGCTGGCGTACCACAGGCAACATGTCGGAACTCCTCCCTCTGCTGGGGGCATCGGAAATATTGCTGCAAGAAGGTACACGTGCACACCACGGCAAAATCAGTTTTTGCTCACATACAGTGGCGAAAGCATGACAAATCCGCGTTATTGTCCAAGACTTTGACACACCTCGAATCAAGGAGAAACGAGCACCCTCGTTGTCGATGTATGCGACCACCTCAGCAGAGCAGAGATGCTCACTCCACACATCAAACGCGACTGCAACTGCTGCGGTCTCCAACTCACCGATGCCAGTCACAGCCTCGGCGGGCAGCAAGGTGGTGACATCCTCACTCTTGAGTAGAAGGGAAAACCAACTACACAACGAACCCTGGGGCGAGATCAAAACCCCACCTAAACCGCCAGAGAAGTCGGGCTCGAATGCAGCATCCGTGAACACGAACCACGACAACCCTAAAGACCGAGCAATCCTACGCGGGGCACCCTCTCTGATCCGCAACTCAAGAAACTCAAGGGCTACTCGGGTGTCTTTGTCAATCTTCGCTTCGAATGGCCAGCGATGCACGTGATTGCTGACCATCTTTAAGGCAAGCTGGCCAGCGCGGCCCATCACCTGAGCATTGGCGAATGCGAGCTTGCCCCGCAGCTCCAGCCCATGCTTGTAAGAGAGCTCACCTTTTCCTAGCACAGCAGAAACCAAGTTGGATACATCCTCTTTCCTCTTCGTGGTGTTGTCCACACTTACCACACCATTGCCTGTCTCTGAAAGGTCGAAGGTAACACCTAAGGCAGACACCCGCTGCGAAAACACGTCTGCTTTCGGCCCTACGGTGTCAAAATCCCAGCCTAAAAGCCGGAACAAGAGTTCCATCGTAAGACCTGTGTTGTCCGCCAGTGCATCGGGAGAGGCCACTATGAAATCGTCATAGTAGGACGTGGTTGGCACGACCAAGCACTTTGTAGCAATCCACTGTATGCATCTCGAACAGCGGATGAAGCCGTTGACAGAGGCCCGCGCGCCGAACGGCAGACACACTTGCGTGAAGAGCATGGTTTTCTGTTCGTGAGGATTGTACACTGCAATCACCGCGAAGCCCTTCGAGGCCATCGACACGCACAGTTGCCGATAGGCTGCAGTCAAATCGAAGGATCTTCCTTTGAGTTTGGAGCAGCGCTTATTCCTAGCCAAACCCACACACAAGTCACTGAACATACAAGCAGCAACGTCCACTGTGTCAACAGTTGGTTGCTCCAATGTAGTTACGCAAGCATTGACCCCACTTCGGGAGTAGTCATCAATGGGTCGAAGTTTCGAGCCCTGAACTAAAGGAAACCGGTGGGAGACAACATCAAGCTCCCCCAAATCATCCCAACCGTAAGGACCTATCAACCACCCTTTGTCGACCTCCTCCATCGTCTTTTCCCAAAGACGAGTGTCTTGCTCGAGATCACCTGAGGAGCCAAGGGATAATTTCAGGGCTTCCCTAGCTCTCGCAGTAGCGGATACGAGATCATCGGGATGCATGGTAGCAGGCGTGATTTTACCAGGAAGAACATTAGACTCAGGGGCGCGACCCGCTAGATCAAACCCTGCACGCATGTCGGCGGCTAAGTTCGTGTCACCATACCCCTCGGCAGCAATGATTTCGTCAAGCAGTTGCAGCCTCTTGCATGACATGACAGCTGCCATATGCGGGTCGGCGACCTCCCATGTCGGGTCCGGATCAAGACCTATTTCCTTAGCCCGTTTGGTCCACTTGCTCAGCCACTTGCTGCGCCTCTGGATGACGGCCTGGGGGGACGCCTTCGATAGCATGTCAATGCACCACGAAAGATGTTCAGGCATACCGCCCGAGGCGGCGCGTGGGTGCCCGGCATGGACAGCGGCCCGTATGAATTCATCTTCCGCATATGGCAGCCCAAACGTCACAGTGTGGAGCGAATCAGGTGACGAGGACTCGCAATCTACCGACATGCCAGCAGTGTCACCGCACCCGGACACAGAAAGATCGCAGAGGGGCACAGCATTATGCCCCGGGAGCGGGAAACCAAGCTCCAGCAGGTAATTCACATCGTCCTGTGGCAGGTCGTCCAACCTAGCGGGGCAAAACCCTATAAGGACAACCCTAGACCCTGACCAAGGTAAGGTACAGTGGAGGCCGTGTGCATCAAAGGCGACTGGGCCCTGCGATACATCAAGGGTTTTGCCCAACAACCTGCCCTCCGGAGTATTGCGCCATGTGTCACCGGCCTCATCGGCCAGCCATATCTCGCCTTTGGTGAAGGCGGTCAGGGGTAAAACGTAGTTCAAAGATCCGGCCAGATTGTTCCGATCCCGATGAAAAGGTGTACAAGTGTTGGAATAAATCGCAACGCAAGAAAACTCAGCATGCGGAACATGGGCACGCAAGAGCTTCACAGCAGCTTTGACCGAGAACGGGTAGCGCCTGGTGTTCTTCCGCAGGCCGCACAATGTGCCCTGGCAGTAGGCACCAGCTGACCAGGCCTTCTCCCTAGCATCCTTCACGCCCCTGGCCGGAGTCTCATGAGGAAGGGCATCGAAGATATGTAGAAGGTCGTTTTCGCCGATGGCACCGGACAGTGACCTAGCACGTTGTTCCGCCTCAGAAGATACAACGCATGCAGGAGGCTCAGTTCCCGAGGCATCGTCACAAGCAGTTGATTTCCCCGACCCACATGATCGCTTGGTACCCTTGAAATCATCGGCGGCTTCTATGTTCCCCCCTAAACCCAAAAGGCAAGAAGAAGAACACCCGGAACCTAAAGGGGGAGGGGGAACCCCTAAACCGAAAGGGGAGGGGTGTGGCACATGAGCAGGTTGCTGCTGCAGCGCGTCACTCACCGTCGATAGGTGGCCAGCATCCTGTGGTGGTTCGATGCTATCTTTCACAGTCCCCCTCTCACGAACGGCAGCATCGGACACCAGAGATGAGTTGCCCAGCAGCTTCGCACCTTTGGGAATGCACACGGAACCAACATGCAGATCCTGCAACAAGCGATTTTTGGAGCACAGCTTCGGCAGGCGGCTCAGCCGAACATCCACAAAGCCCTTAAACTCAGGTACAGGGCAGGGGCCATGTTTGCGAGGTTGATAACCAAGAGAGATCTGCGCAGCAACATGTGAAGGAATTGCAGCAGGCGGCACATGCAGGGCAGCAAACATGGCATGCGCAAGGGCGTTGTAAAATCGCCTCAGAACTATTTCAGAAGATGCGGCCACACGTCCTGGGGTACCAGACGTCTTCATGCTGGAGAAAGCAGAGGGCAACGATGATGCCAAGCGAATGGAGCCCGCCTTGGTGGAGCCAAAGACTGCAAGGGGAACATCGACAGCGGCAGTAAGATGGGATTTGCCCAAGGGCGTGGACCAAAAGCTGGAGCGCGCAGGGGCTTCGATGGTCCAATGTGTGTCAGCATCCGAACAATGTCTCACAAGAGTCTGTACAACATTCAAGAAACGCTCAGTGTCAACTGAAGAGGCCGACTGACGGCCATGTGGAAACAAAGATTTCGGGCAGCGAATGTGAATCCAAGCACACGAAGGTTCGCGTGCCCACGATGTGCAAAGTGCAAGGCCTCCGGTCGTGAGGACATCAATAGGAACAATCGGGGCAGTGGCAGCCTGTGAACATCCCGAGCCTATGGCAAAGGAAGAGGTCTGTCGAAGACACGCACACAGACTAGCCCGCCTAGCAAAAATTTCCATGCAAAAGGACGCTGGATTACAATGTGCATTACTACTGCCGGCATCAACCGGAGGCGCGGCCGGCAGCTCACATACCTCAGGCGTGTGGTGGGCGACGATGTCGCCCGTGCACAGTCACTCCGATTCCTTGGAGCTGTCATGCTCAGAAACCGGGTGAGCTTTGTAGCAGCCTGGCTTGCAACACACATGTAGGAACTTGCACTTAGCTCCAGCTTTGCACTTGCCCAGATTGTAATTGAAGCAAATCGGCTTATTCTGCGGTGTGCGCGCATGCATGCCCTTGAGAGCCTCTGGGACAGGATCGCGTGTGACCTTCTGCTTCTTGTCTTGATTCGCACCGTCCTCTTGACCCTAAAACCTCTTCCGGGTCTTACCGGGGCCCTTGCCTCCACCCTTGCCCCTGAGAGGAGCAGGTTGAACAAAGTACATGACTTCAGAACTGTGCTCAAGCAGGCCAAACTGAGCATCCAATGGCAATGACCCGTCCGGCTTGGCCTTAAGTGCACCATTGCATGCGCGGGCAAGGACCATGAACGCTTGCCTGTCGGCGCGCAAGATTTGCGCACGCGTCACCTTCTGAAACTCTGGCGGTGGCTCCAAGGACAAAACAAGAAACAGCCTGTCAACCCACCGTTGAACCACCGAGAAAGTAGCCAGGCCTACCAAGTCGAAGGCCAGTGCACGTCTGATCATAGCCTGGTAGAGCTGAAGATCGGTGTCAATGGACATGGCAGCTATGGCTTCCTCATCTTTGACGACAAGGCCGGCTTTGTTTGCATCCAACTGAAGGGCTTTCGGAGGTTTTGCATTGCAGAGTTCCGCGTCCCTGGTGATGCATTCGGATGGGCTAATATATTTCAACTCATCCTGTTCACGCATGGTGGCAAGCCTATCGTATAGGCCGTGAGCAACGGCCAGCGGGCCTTCAAGGCACAAACCTGCAAGACGAATCTTCTGCTGCTCCAGGCGCAGAGTCCTTTCAGATGAAGGCAGCTTCTTAGGTCCTTCACTTTCCTGCACGGTTGCTCTCAACTCTGCCACAGTAAATGTTTGGGCTTCGAAGATCAATTGCTTCAGCGCCGAGTTATCCCCGATGGAGATAGTAGCACCTGGTCGTAACTTGGTTGTGAAAGCTTCCAAGTCCTCAGCACTGGGTGGCGTGCCTGGCAATGATATTGCATAGCTGAGTTTACCCAACGTGTTAACCGCAGCACCCTGAAGAGCATCCACCCAAGGACGCGATAGCCCTGCTGACTCGCACCTACGGGTGAAGCAGCTGTGGATGACAAGACAGACACCGCAGCCATCGGACGTGGTCAGACCTAAAATCGCCAAACAAACAAACACATGACATGCATGAGAAGTTGACAAGTATAAATCGCTCTCAGGAGCCCAGGCTGCACACAGCACATACGACTGATTCTAGATGTCGGGAACCGCACACAGCTCCAGGACATGCCGACTGCATTCAGAACAGCACAAAGTGGCGCACAACACCAGCAAATGCCGCAAGTAGAATGCACACACTCTCGATTTATTCGGGGACCTGCGGACTCCATCACAACGACTTTAAAAGCTCATTTCCAGCAAGCTGTACATCTGGGCCACTGGAGATATGCACCTGGAAGGTACCAGTAAGCAGGGCCCACTTGCCGGCCACATTTGGTCTGGCGATCAGACTCCACACCTTGAACTCGATGCAGCATCCTAGACCTTGCATGCTGCCAACACGGCTCATCAATCTCATAGCCCTGGCTTGGCGCTACCCTTCTCATTGTCTGCTCTTCAATCTCGCTGGCCTCATCACAACTTTCCGAAGACGACGAGGAGCTTGAAGAGTTTTGCTCACCCACCAGCGAGCCGTCATCATCACTCAGGGCCACCACTTCCGCTTGAGCGCCGCTTGGCTGTGCTGCAAATGGCTCGCATTCCTCATCCTCCTCGTCGGTGAAGATGTTGCGATGGGGCGAAGGGCCCGCAGAGTGCTCATCATTCCCCTCGGCAAGAACAGGCCCATCAAAGGGTGGACGGGCACCCCTTGGTTCCGCAGAGCTGCTCACGAAGGGTAGGCTGCATGCACGATCAGGCCGACTTCCGAAAGTCCCTGAGACATCCCCCAAAGGTGGCAGCTCCAAATCCCTGGACGAAGCAAGCCAGCCTGAGCGCGTTGTGTCAGGCTTGAATGATCCTCTCCTGATTTCCGCTAACATCGCACGGTAAGCTCGAAGTGGGGCGCTAAGCAATTCCCGACTGTAACAGGCGAGGGAACTGGATCCAGTGGCGTGATGCCCCAACAAGAGACCGTCTCTCTCACTGAACCCCCGCTTGCCGACCCAAGAAAGAGTGCTTCCTTTGAGGACGTGGGAGGTCCTCCGTTCTTCGCCATCCAGATCAAGAACTTGGCACAACATCGCTCCAGCCTCAGTCGAGCTGCACCTGCGGCCAGCAAGGCTGCCATCTGCAGCCGGTGCACGAACTACAGGGCCAAAGGGCCTGCGGTCCCAATCAACACCCAGCTCGATTCCAGCTTCCCACCAGACAAGCGGCCACGCTGCATCAGTGACACCTGGAAAGGGCGCCACAAGAGGCATGGCCTTCTTCTTTGTCCTGACAGTGTTGCTTGTCTTATGAACTCGGGTTCGAGCCTCAATGAAACCCGAGCATTCCTGCTCGTCATCGAAGTCTAGCCAAATCAAGTCAACATCCTTAAGATCAGACCACCGCGATCGGCTGAACAGTGCGAAAAGCAGGCCTCCCAGGATATAACAATCCATAAAACAAAGCGTGCGGCTTGCAACCAATCTCTCCAATTTTGCCACCTGCTCGACTGTGAGGGCCACTTGTTGCCTCGCTTCGGGGGCCTCACCAGCAAGCCTGCGGGCACGCCCTTGAAGTCGCCTGTCTTCCAGGAGTTCCATATCAAAAGGAATCGCCATGACATGATGAGAGAATATCAAAGCTTCAGCAAAACCATTCACAGCGCTGGCAGAGTTGCCCAAGAACTTCACATAGCAAGTGACCGAGTCTGTGTCCCACGGCCAAACAACTGAGCGCTCCCTGGAGTGCCACCGGATGCACCGCAGAATCGCATTAGCTCTCTTAATGGCCGTGCGGGGCGATTTCAATCCCAACACATCGCGGACAACCTCGTCTCTTGCAGATTCTCCCTCATAAAGCAAGCTCTTGGATGCTTGCAAGGCGACTGGTCCAGGATCCCCAATTATCATAGCAAAGATAGAGCACCACTTCCGAATCGCAAGGGCCCACAAGCGGTCCTCTTCATCTGTGGTCGTCTCATCTTGTCTTCCGCGAGCAGAGAATGAGCGTTCATAATAAAAGGTATGCACATGCTTGGTTCTTTTTGCAGAAGGCTCCAGCAGGATCGGGCTTGCTTCATGCTGCGACAACCTCGGCTGGACAAAATCTGGAGCATTCACCAAAGCTCCTTCGAAGATCATCTTCATGGCACCAACCTCCCACGGGAACTTAGGCATTGTATGCGGAGCTCCTTGCACACGAGCATTGAATATAAGTTGGTCCAGACTGAAGTCTTCGCAACCACCCCCCTTGGAAGAAGAAGACGCCATGTGTCGGGGGGCTCGGTGTCAAAAATTTCTGGGCTGCATTCAGCCAATGGCTGCAGAATGCAGCTCGTGCACAAGCATACAAGCGCACAACACAGATGCACAGACTACAAGGAATAAGATGCTGTCTCGCCTACGAGAAGGCATATGTAAGCCCCGCAGCCACCCCTCCACCCTGACGCCTTTAAACCCCGATTGCATGCACCCCTCATTTCTCGGTAGCGAGAGGTTCACCTTATTGAATCCTCCATCTTATTGAGGCTTTAGGCAACGGCTTGAGTTATGATGGGTTGTGAGTTTGGGACTTGACTTAAGTTAAGAATCAGAGAGGGCTGATATGAGGAAAGTGAGCAGAGTGAACCTCAGACCCCACACCATCGGAAGCTGCTTTAAGCACAGACAAGCGGCTTAAAGAGGTGACGACAGCAGAAGCATCCTGCCTGGTGCTGTTTGGGCTCGGCAACCCTAAACCCTAAACCCTAAACCCCTAAACCCTAAACCCTAAACCCTAAATAGATTGCCCCCCAGAATGCTCATCGAACTCCCGAGCTGCTGTCTTGTGTAGGAATGCCATTGGCGTATGTGAATACTCGTGACGACAAGGACCTGGTAGAATACTTGGAGGATCATGGGACTTAGTAAGTAAGGTTATAAGTCCCCGAATTGGGGTTATAAGTATAATTACCTTAGTTATAATCCTACTTACTAAGTCCCATGATCCTTTAAGTATGAGACTTCCCGAAAATGAGGGGCACCTTGTTTTGGGCTCCTTATAATATGGTTTTCGGAAACCCCCGTATGAGACCTTGGAAAACGTCACCAAAAAAATGCCAAAGGCTGAAGGAACAGGCTACCCTCACGAGACCTGAGCCGGTCCTCTTTCACTTCTTCTCCCTCCGACGTGGAAGCATCTGTAGAGTCCTGAGCTTTCATCAAGCTCTCCGGCCCCTTGACCCCAAACTACGACACAAACCCCTACATCCTGAAGCGCAAACACTGAACCATGACATAAACAACCTCAGACACTTCTGCGGCGCCCGCGCAAATCTTGAGACCCCCGGCACAAAGTTACCGTGGAAGAGTCAAGATATCCTTCAAGATTGATGCATGGTGCCCGTGGTGGTGAAGACGCGCTGTGTGTTTATGTTTGTTTTTTGCATGTTGTCGAAGATATGTGAGGCATCGGAACCTTTCAAAACATCAAGATGTTACACAGGTGCAATCAATGCAGCAAGTAAGCTGTCACCACCGATATAACTGAAGAGAAGTGACCAGCATGCAAACCCTGCAGAAGCTGGCATTCCAGATACCCTCGAAGCAAAAGGCTCAACTCGAAAACCCTAAACCCCATACCCTAAATCTTGAAAACCCCACAACCCTGAACCCTGCATGCCCTACTTAGAAGCGAATCTTCCGATTTGTGGACTGAACTGAACGGACTCGGAGCCAAGATGCATGAACAGATTAGTCAGCTGGGGAAGCTGCCTAGCATCCCCTGCAGCTTCGGAGCCTACTATTGGGTTTAGGGTTTAGGGTTTAGGGCCGGGACCTGACATTTGTGGTTTAACGGTACCGTGCAGGCAGGAGGCATCGTGCAATGCCATCTTCAAGTGCTCTAACTCGAGAGCCAGCGAGAGAAGCCGAGAGATTCCAGGAGTTCGGAGGGAATGCAGAGAAATGGATCCTGGGGTCTTCCCAATGGAAAGTCTACAAAAAGATACTACAAAATGTCATAAGCTATTACACTATACTCCAATATACCATAAGATATTTACTGTACTACACTATATTACTATGCTATAATATTGTGTTCGGGCCTTGAGGCTTGAGGCTCGCTCAGTCGGGGGTGCGAGGGACTCTCGACAGATACTTTCGGCTGAAGCTTGAGCCAAACTTTGGTGCCACGCGCCTTCATGGGGTTTGGGGTTTAGGCTTTGGGGTTTGGGTTT